GCTCAGAGAGTCCCAAAGAAGTTGGACCCAAGAAGGAACACACCAAGGCACATCATAATTACATTAGCCAAGATTAAAATGAAGGAGAGAATCCTAGAAGCAGCAAGAGATAAGGGGACAGTCACCTACAAAGGAGTCCTCATCAGACTGTCAGCTGATTTCTCAAAAGAGACCTTACAGGCAAGAAGGGGCTGGAAAGAGGTATTCCAAGTCATGAAATCCAAAGACCTACAATCAAGATTACTCTATCCAGCAAAACTTTCATTTAGAATGGAAGGACAGATAAAGTGCTTCTCACATAAGATCAAGGAGTTCATCATCACCAAGCCCTTATTGTATGAAATGTTAAAGGGACTTACCTAAGAAAAAGAAGATAAAAAAGATGAACAGTGAAAGGACAACAAACTGAACAGTTATTAACAATCACACCTAAAACAAAAGCAAACTACGAGGACACCTAGATCAGGAGCAGAACCATAGAAATGGAGATCACATGGAGGGTTAGCAACAGGGGAGTGGGAGGAGGAGAATGGGGGAGAAGGTACAGAAAATAAGTAGCATAGACGGTAGGTAGAAAATAGATAGGGGGGAAGGGTAAGAATAATATGGGAAATATAGAAGCTAAAGAACTTGTGACGTGATCATAAACTAAAGGGGGGGAATGGTGAGGGTGGAGGGTGCAGGGTGGAGGGGAATGAAGGGGGATAGAACAACTGTAATGGCATAATCAATAAAATCAAATAAAATTTAAAAAAAAGAAAAAATATTCAGTGAACTAGGAATAGAACACAACCTTCTCAAACTTACATAAGTACATACAGTGTGGGACAAAAGGGTGGGTTTACAGTTGTGAGTGTATGAAACACAGAGTTTATTCTTTCTTGTATTATTATTTATTAATTACTGTACTATTTTCCATATGAACAACTATAAACCTACTGTTGCCCCACCCTGTATATGAAAATTCTACAACACAATTCTAAAGTCATAGAGTTACCATATGACCAAGCAATTCCACTCCAAGGTATAAACCCCAGAGAAAAACATACATATACATATCCACACAAAAACTTATCCACAGTTCCAGCTCTATGTGTAAGGAGCTTAGAAGTCACCACTCTGTCCTAACTAGTAACAAACTTAACAGACTGAACAATTCACAACTCTTTGGATACATAAGAGAGAGAAAGAAACAGCAAACTTGATGAGATTGTAAATTCAACTGTCATCATAACTCATCAAGCCATACGTTCAAATTTTGTGTTTCATTCCCAGAAATGTCAGCCCTGGGGTTAAAAAAAAATAAGAGCTTACTTTAAGACTTTGATGGGAGTTTTTGAATTCTCATAACTTGAGCTAAAAGTTGAGACCTGAGTTTGTCATTGCTCCCCATAAGTGCTTAAGGTTACTAAAAAGATTTGTTCCTACACCAGAGTCTTATAGTCACCATTTCTACCAAAATGCAGCAACCTCCTGGGCTTTCGAGGTACGTGCTTCAGCTGGCACTTTATCACAAGTAAACATGGTGATAGCTTGATGAAGTATGATGCCACTGCATGACAAGAATCCATTTCCTACTGGCAGAGAGCTCAGCACTTCATTCATGGGTAAAGGAATAAAAACAATCCTAAAATCCTGTCTTTGTGGGTGTATCTTCTGGGACTACTAGTCATAGCAATGCCATAGTAGTCGGGATCCAATCAGGAGAGGGAAACTGCAAAGTAATTTGAACAAAGACAGTTTAATATAAGGATTATTAACTATAACAGAGAATTGAAGTAACAAGGAATGAGCTGGTAAGAAGTAAAGAGAATGCTAAGGAATATAGAAATAGTACAAGGAAGAGCTGCTTCCTCTAGGGCTGAGATAAAGCACTCAAGGGCTAAACCCAGACCTTGTGACAGAGAACACAACAAAATTTTGGCAAATTGAATCCAGTAACATGTAAAATAATAATAATAATAATAATAATAATAATAATAATAATAATAATAATTCAGTAATAAGGGTTTACCCCAAGATTGCAGGATTGTTTAAATATCCAAAAGTAAAAGAATGTAATATGTAGTATTAATAGAATAAGTAAGAAAAACCAGCCCTGGCTGGTGTAGCTCAGTGGATTGAGCAATGGGCCTGTGAACCAAAGGGTTGCTGGTTTGATTCCCAGTCAGGGCACATGCCTGGGTTATTGCAAGTCAGGCCCCCAGTGGGGGGTGCTCAGGAGATAACCACACATTGATGTTTCTCTCCCTGTCTTTCTCCTTCCCTTCCCCTCTGTCTAAAAATAAGTAAATAAGATTTTTTTACAGAAACCATATAACAGTCTCAGGAGATACAGAAAAAATGGTAAAATTCAGCACCAATTCATAATAAAAATTATCAACCAACTAAAAATAAAAGGTAAGACATATAAACTGATAAAAGACATCTACAAAAAAATCTAGTTAACATATTTAACTGTGAGACACTAAGTGACTTCTGCCTAAAATCAATAAAAATAAATGAAAATTTTAAAAATTTCTACTCAACATTTTTATTGGAAGTCATAACCAGTATAGCAAAGCAAGAAAAAAAAAGCATACAGATTGGGAGGAAGGAAGTAAAACTCTACTGATTCACAGACGACATGACTGTGTATATGACAGGTGACCTTTCACCTTCTGGGACAACGCTCAACCCACTGGGCCATGCTGGCCTGGGTAAACCACAAAATTTCTAAAAGACAACAAAGCAAAAATTATTCATGAGTTTGATTTAGGCAACATTTTTTATAGAAACCAAGAAGAATTAACAAATTGGACTTCAACAAAACTGAACACTGTCCTAATTGGGTAGCTCAGTTGGTTAAAGCATTATCTGGATGTAGACACACGAAGGTTTGGGTTCTTTCCTGGGTCAGGGCACATTCGAGAATCAACCCATGAATGCGTCAATAAGTACAACAACAAATCTCTCTCTTTCTTTCATCAATCAGTAAAAAAAAAAATTTAAAAACTGAATCCCTTTTTCATCAAAAAAGACACAAATGAAAACAGAAAAGAAAAGCAAACCATAGATTGGAGGGAGAAAGGGATGCAGAGAGGCAGGCAGACAGGCAGGCGGGAGTGCATGGCCTGGGTCTTGTGAGGAAACATCAAACATGTCCAGCTTGAAGTTCAGCATAAGGAATGAAACACCCACATAGTTTAAAACTTCATGGACATAAGCCATGTAAGAGAGGGTGAGGGGTGAGAGGAAGTGTTGCAGATTAAAGAAGTCATCTAAAATTTAACAACTAAATGCAACGTGTGTGCCTAGATAGAATTTTGGGCCAAAAGGGAAAAGGTAACACTAGTGAGACAGTTGGAAACACCTGGGTGGGGCCATCGATTCCAAGTTTGAGGGTAGTGTGCACTGGCAATCCTGACTGGAGGGAGAGGAGGGGTTATATAGGAGAGTGTCCTCATTTGGGGAAGATGCCCAATATTATACTGGAGTATTAGCAATAATGGGATGCCACGCTGAAAAAAATCTGTATGTGTAGGGAAAGAAAAGGAGAAAAAACAAATGTGATCAATGTAAACCACTAGAGAATCTGAGAGAAGGGTACTCAGGAATTCTTTGTACCCTTTCCGTGTGTTTGAAATCATTTCAAAATTGTTTAAAATGTAAGAATAAAAATACCAACTGATAAATAAATGAAGAGATAAACTATTTTTATGAATGGAAGACTCAATATTATGCTTACACTGAGCTAATGACCTGTATGAAGTCACTTAATAAGTATTGGAACTAAAACCATTCACTGTCAACCACTTGTTCAAAAACCTGCAATGGCTCATTACCCACACAATAAGGAGGTTAAGTCAAGTAAGAAAATGCCTACAAAGCACTTACTCATCACCCAGTATGTAAGTGGGAAGTAAACACCTAGTGTCCTCTCAAAATTCTCCACCAGGTATTTAAATACCCTTATAATATGGCCACAGTTTATACTTTCCTTTTTCATATATTTATGTATTCAATACATATTTATTGACTATCTTTTTTGCCTCAGTCACTATATTAGGTCCTGGTGGAGTGGGGGAACAATAAATAAAATAAATATAATTACCATTTTTGATTCTTAGGTAACATCATCCTGTCATTCAGGACTCTGAAAAAAGGCTTTCCTGTATCTAAACATCCCACTTATTCATTCATTTCCTTATTCAATAAATTTTCCTTAATTACCTCCCGGAATATCAGAACTATACCTATTTATCCAGGCATAATTCAAATGATTTTTCCTTAGAGAAACTTCTTTCACAATCTCCTGAAAAATAAACTGATGACTATTTATTTGTTCCTCTCATATCATTCTAATCACAGTGCACTTATTTAGACACAGCAGTTTAAAGCAAAAAAGAGATCATGTTTGGCAAACTCCGCTGTGGTGAGTGTAAACAGGAGGGTGATAATCTAAGTGTAATGGGAGCGGAGAGGGCCTTGGCCAAGTAGGGAATGCGTGACGCTCTAAAAGCATTCAAATTCACATTCTTCTACAAAGTGTGTGTGTGCAAAGATACACACCCTGGAGTCTGGGTTCTTTTATATAGATTGTTTGAGCTTCTAACTCCACCTCCTCAATTCACCCCCAGGAAAACAAGATCCAGGCAGAAAATAACGTGGCCAGTGTGCCTCAACATCGTGGGCAGAAGCAGGACAAACCTTGTGGCCACAGATACTGTTTTCAATGTTAATGCTGCAAGTGATTCAACCCTGAGCTTCTCAGTATTGGTGACCAAAACACACTAATGACTCAGTACTATAGGCCCCTATTACCCACACTGTGAGGGGTACCTGTGTCAATAAGGTGTTTGATGACAGAAGCCCAAGCCATGGTGGCAGCCCGTTTAACAAGCCTTTATCCTGGTCATACCTCAAGAGCGTTGGAGAGGATAGCTGCTTCAAGGAGAACCACCCAATTCCACTCTTGCCTCCCCCACCTACCCGCCCCTACCCTGCTCCCTCAGGCTCACCCTGAGATATCAGCACGATGCAGAAGAAAACCATAAAGCAGCGGATATTATTAAGTTGTGGACAGCTGGGAATGATTTTCCAGCACAAGCTCCGGATCTTCTCCAAATTTTCATTCTGTTCTCCCCGCTTCTTAACAGAGGGTTGGGACCTAGCCTTCTTTCTTTTCTTGTGGAACTTGATCACGGAAATTGAAAGCGCCCTGATAAACCGGGATTTTCTCCTGGTCTTCCTGGCCTCCTTGGCTTCCCTGGCCTCCCTGGCCTCCCTGGCCTCCCTGGCCTCCCCGGACACTGTGCTCCCCGCAGGCTGAGCCTGCATGGCCTGGGGCTCCACTTTCACTAGGGCTTCAGGCATTGCAGGAGGGTCTCTGCGGAGGCCTGGACGTGGCTCGTGCTGGGGATGGCCGCTCTGACTCTTCCAACTGACCAGCCCGCGGACGTGGACGTCATGGAATTGGCGCCCACAGCCTAGGTCTCTGGAGGAAACGTTCCTTCTAGGCTGGGGGCAAACGTCCCTGCCAGAAGGTTGACAGTTGGCCTGAGAAAACTTCCAAAGCTATTTCCTCTTCACTTCTGTGTGGGAAAGGAGGAAGGAAAAAAAGGGGGCGGGGGTGGGGGTGGTGACTAGTACTATTGGATTCTGATAACTGTTAACACGGGAAGAACCAGTATAACTCAAATGGAAGTAATGTTAAAAAGCGAGGAAAGAAAAAGATGCAATAATGGGACAATGGAACTGTGTCCCCCAAATCCCCCAGAAATTACTTCTTGTTTTTTCAAATTGAATAATCTCACAAGAAACACCCTGAAAATTGTTGAAACCAGCAAAGGTCATAAAACAGTATTCCAGTGAATGCTCCTAAGTAAAGTGTTTTACACGTAGAAATTATCATCCTAGAAACTATCTCTAGCCAAGGACAGAAAGAATTTTAGGATCCAGAGTGTGGTTTACTTCCCCAGGTACAAAAGTCTTAACTAAAAAGAAAGAATGTAGGAGAATAGCTACAGGACACAAAATGCATGTGTTGTTTATACAAAACCGGAACTTCTTATTGGTTTTCTTTTCTTAGGCAAAGGATAAGTTACTCAGGTCATGTATGTGGGGATGGTGAACTTTCCAGAAAAATTGAAACTGTCTTCCCTCCTATGTAGGAGACATTGTCTCACCAAAATGATCCAGCTCTTAAATAAGCTTTTGTGCTGCTAGAAAGTGCTGGGGCTTGTAGACCAGTGGGGGGAAATCACTAAAGGCTTGGGAGAAGGGTCCCACAGGCCTCACCACTGACCTAGGCCTGAGCTTGAGTTTCTGCCCACCAGTGAGTAGAAACGTTCACCTATACTGAGAGATCTAGTGTGTCAAATATCTAGAAGGGGGATCATTAGTCATTACATAAGGAGGAGCAATGCCCTAGTTTTTCCATGTTCCTTTCCTACTTAACTAGGATGCCCCCCCCCACATTGCTTCAAGATATTAATAATCATATAGGGAGCAGAAATCCTAGGAGGTAAGAATGTGGAGGGACTCATTTTGTGCTTTGATACCAGAATAGCCATGGTCTGGAAGTAGAAGGGAAAAAATGGTTCTTTTAAAAATAAATGGTACTAGGACTTGCGCTTCTACTCAGAACATAGAGAGTCAAGTAGAATGTTCGCTCCACTCTAACAACAATAGTCCAAAATAAACCTGGGTAATAAAAATACTATTACCGTTTCTGCTCATCAGATACCTGTATGTCCAAAGCAACAAGGAAAATTGGTTCTGAAGGCTAACAAACCCCTCAGAAAAAGAACAGAACGTACAAACTGTTTCACCTTTGGCAGAGCACCAGGTATTAGACCTGTGGGGTCAGAGGAGACCTTGGTTGAGAAACCTCGGTACTCTCATTCTGTCTAGGAAAGAATTCAGAACCAAGACTCAAAGTATAAGAGAGAAAATATTTAGAAAATCACAGAAGTAAAAGAAGTGACCCATAGAAGAAATGGGCACAGGAAACAAGTTGTGGAGGCAAAAGGAAGGTCCCTTGGAGCTTAGGAGAGAGAAGGAGGCAAGGAAAATGTGCCTGGGAAGGGGGTGGGAAAGAGGGGGAAGGCACAGGTGCGCTCCTGGGAGGGAGAGCACTCTGGGTCCTCCATTAGAAAGGCTTTTAAGGGTAGGGATTTTAGGACAGGCCCCAGGGGAGAATCTCAGTAGAATATTCATCAGCTTTCCAGGTGTGGCCTTTCAAGGTGGTGGTCTCCACTGAGTAGTGGGTGCCAGGCCAGGGGTCATTAGTCAGTGCAGCTAGTCCTGAGGTCAGCCACTGCATCCCTTGTCTGTTTCTGCTGCTTTTCTGGGTGTGGAGCTGAAATATAATGATATGTTATCTCTAAGGAGGAAAGTTCAGGGGGTCTGTATGACAAGCGATATGAAAGGTCAGGGAGTCTAAACCACATGACCTGCGATATGCTAGGGGTGGAAGGTCACGCTGGGGGCAAGGCCTTTGTTTTCCCTGTTTTGTCCATTGCTAGGCAACTGGGCTTTCCACACTGGTGACCTTCTGTACCTTCCTTGCTGTGCTTATGTCTGTTTAATTGCCTACCACAATAGCAACCGTAAAAGAAGACAGAAATAAAACACCTGAAATTTTAATAAATTCTTAAAGGCCCAGTGAGGGCTAGCATATGGTTTAGAAACCCGAGGAACATTAGAAACAAGGGGCATCGTTGCCATCTGACAAGGCAAGAGCACCCTTAACACAGAATGCATTAGATGGTGATAGACTGCTACTGAGAGAGAAGCAGGAAGGCTTACTTGCTCACCCTTCTATCCCTAGTGCTGTCCTTCCTTTTAGTATGCAAATCAAAAAAATATTCTAGGATATTTTTCTGCCTCTAGGATCGGGGCAGGAAACTCTCCTGCCCCCTGATTATCAGTAAAGATTAGCTGTTACTGGAAGAGGGACAGAGCAAAAGCCATTTACCATTAGGGGAGGAACAGAAAATCATACTGTTTTATGGTCCACGCAAAGGTTGGGTCCCACCAGAGGGAAGTGTAGAAATAAAAAACATTTGCCAAAGAGGGAAGAGCAGGAATGTCTTTCCTCATCAAGAACTAACACCAAACCAGTCAAAGTCCAACCCTTGGGGCTCAGTCACTCAGGGCCCTAGATTGAGGCTGGATCAGAAGAACCCATCCCCTGCTTCCATTATGAGGTCCACTTGAATTAAAAACAATAGCACTCCACCATACAGGTGAGTCAGGACAGCAGAGAAACCTCGGTGCTGTTATTCTGTCTAGGAAAGAATTCAAAGCCAAGACTCAAACTATAAGAGAGCAGATATTTAGCAAATCACAGAAGTAAAAGAAGTGACCCATAGAAGAAATGGGCATAGAAAACAAGTTGTAGAGGGAAAAGAAAGGTCCCTTCTCTGGTACAGACATACTGGACCTGCTGCAAGCTTTCAGGCACTCAAAGTTTCACATAAAGCACATGGTAACTGTAGGACCCATTAGAAAAATATAAGCCTGTGCTGTAAACAAAACCCAATTCCAACTCTATTTCTGTTGACATCGACAAACTGACATTAATAGGCAGATAAAAGAAGAATCATCACTTCTAGTTATAAATACATCGGTCCCCAATTTTATTTTATATACAATGTCTTAAATTTAGTATTAAATGGTTTAGCATATACATAATTGAGGTAGCAGAGAAGGAACATGAAGTAGAATTATTTAAAGATATGATGGTCACAAACTATATAAAACTAATGAAATATGTATAACCATATATGGAATAATCTCAGAAAATTCTAAACAAGATAAATATGACAAAAAGCACACCTAGACATATTGTAGTCAGGCTCTTAAAAATCAAAACTCATTACAATAATTTGAAGAAAGTGACAGACAAGAAAAACAAAAGTCATAGAGAGGCAAATTATCTATATATGTGATTTCTGATATATGAAATCAGAAGTATATAGGTCATAATTCGATAAAACTATACCTTGAAAATATGAAAGAAAAACCTCCAAGAATTTTTTAGTCAGCAAAATATCTTTTGAAAATGGGTCAAGAACTGTGAAAAGTCCTCAACAAAATATCAGCAAACCAAATCCAACAACACATTAAAATAATTATATTTTATGACCAAATGGGATTTACTCCAGGAATGCAAGGTTGGTTTAACATCTGAAGATCAATTCATGTAATACACAATATTGGGTTGACCAAAAAGTTTGGTTTTTTTTTTTCTGTAAGATGACCCTAGTAGTGGTTAGTTGTCTTTAACCAATTAATTGTTCCTTTGAAACAATTTTGTTAGATTATGTTGTGACAGCTATCATATCAGTGTGCATTTAAAAAACATCAGTAGGAAGATGGCAACGATGTAGTTGGGAGCTGAGCCCACTTGCTGGTGCACCCAACTGGGACACTTAGATGATCTTCCAAAGAGCAGAGTGAACAGCCAACAGAATCCCAGCTAATATAAATCTTGGAAGCCAAAGAGTACAGAGGATGCTTAAAAACACGTGGTAAGGAGATTCTGTAGGCCAACAAAAAGGTCGCTGGACCTTGAGCCAGAGACCAGGGCTGCTTGGGAGCATTGGAGGAGAGCTAGGTCAGTGGTAGCAACCTAGCAGCTCCCTCCCCTCCCAGAGCAAGGAAGTCCCAGACCTGCTCCAGAAGAGACTTGGACCCTTAAAGTTGCTGGGGGGATAAAGAGGCAGTCAGTGACTCACAGCCAGAGGCGTACCCCAGCTGGGGCAGTAATCACTGGCTAGGACAGTACCACAGAAAATGGGGAGCTGGGTGACACCTGGAGCTGGGTGAAGAGATGGGCCATGACTGGCCATGACCTAAACATATTCTGAACTGGTCACAGTTGGACTGGGAAGCCAGGAGCTTGTTAGGAGCGGCAGACAGCACCCAAGGGGATTTTCATCAAAAAAGGAACTGGGCCTCCATGCAAGGACCTCGGGTGCACAGGAACCTTGCGCACACTACTGCTGCACACAGATGCCCGGGCCATCCAAGTGGTGTGGGCAAGATTTGCTCCCACTCAGGGTGCCCCACGGATTGATCTAAGAAGATCAGCAAGGGTTCAGAGAGGCAGCGGCAGTCAGAGGGACTTTTCTTCAGTAGAGGAAACGAACCCTCCGTGCAGGGGCCTCCTGCATGCTCAGTGGCCAGGTCAATGAAGACGGAGGAGGGTAGGCTCAATTTTCTCAAACCCAGTGCTGCTCAAAGGGTTGCAAAATGAGGTAGATTATCAGCTCCAGCCAGGAGCAAATGCACAGAATGAACAGTGTGGGTCAAACTGTGTTCTGAGGGTGTGGGCTGGAAACTGGGCACCTGTGATTATTGTAGCCCAGACTGAGCTCCTTCCTTGGGGAACTACAGGAAAGGGGAAAATGGAGCCCAGCTCCACTCTGCCTGCACATCCAGGAAGACCTTCAAAACTGGCTTGGCAGGTTTAAAATGAGCAGGAGCCTTTTTTTTTTTGCCTTTCAAGAGTAAAACAATAAGACC